CAAAGAATGCGTTGATACCATGTTTAACCCACTTAAATAAGTAATAATAATTTTGACACCATATTTTCAATTTAAAACTTTAAAAGTTATTGAATTTATGAATTTTTTCATTTATATATTCCTTACTTAATTTATTTTTATCTGATGCCGGGACTGTATATCTCTTATATTCGAATTACTAATAATTTTGTCATGATATAAGTTATCTTTGATGTGAATCTTCTATATATCCACACTCATTTATTGTACTACTTTTCTAATAAAGTGGTATATATTGAATTCCTGTATACTTAGTGTTACTAGTTTCGAGACGTGTGAAAACGTTGTGAGACTCCTTATTTGAACATCCTCAAAGGAGTTTTAGGCACATTTTCATGTGGATGTTACATTAAGTTAAATAATGTATGCTCCATTACAAAAATAAATAAGTAAAAAAAATAATGTATGCTCAAGTATGAGCAGTAGAACTTAAGGTAATTAACAACAATAATAAACAAACGAAGATGAGAAAATAACCGGGCAAAGGTCCTTTTAGATAGGGTGTTGGAGATTTTCTTCAAATGCACAAAATGTGATGCTATAATCGTTTTTAGCCCTATGGACCTTAATAGGTATGAGACTGCCTGACCTGTAATATGTAAGAAAATATGTGTACTAAATAAAGATGGCCTTGCCCGGCAGCCATATGGGTCTGCCGGTACCGAACAAAAGTAAAGATAGATTTCTCACCCCTTCATGGTCCATAAGCATAGACAGTTTCCTCGTCTCAAAGAAACACACATCAATGGAATTGGACTACATATGTCTCTATTAAGAAAAAGAAACTGCAGTAGGGGCCAACCATGGTACTTGACAATAGGAAGATTGTTTCAGCATCCATCAACCTAGGACAAGGGTTTGTTTCCAAATGTTTTTATGTACCTGCTGTATGGTCTAATTTCACATTCTCTACGATAGTTCATTATATGTACCAAAAAATAAGATGAAGGGAAATAAAATCATTGACTCTTTTAAGTAACTGTTAGTGACTGATTAATAAACCCTTATCATGACCCTTGAATTTAAAACAATTAATGCAATTTGCCTAAATATCATTTTCACTTTTTTTAGAAATTAAAGGTTCATGTTTCCAAAAAAATTAAAAATTTAAAAGGTTCATGTTTTCACCTTTTTTAGTTTCCTTTGAGGTATTCCCCACCAACAATCGAAGAATAATTCTTTTGAAGCATAGAAATCACCCAAGTAAGTTTTGTTTATATGTTTTTGTGTAATATATATATATATATATATATATATATATATATATATATATATATATAAAAGCAGCCAATGGCGGAACTGTATATATGCAAGTGCACACACAAATTTTTTTGAAAAAAAAAAGAATAAAATATATTTTGGGTCATCAACAAAAATTATAGGACCCAATTTAATCCTTTAAAAAAAGTTGATTTGCAATCCTCTAAATTCCAAAATAGACCCATGTTAATCCTTTTGAGGGACTAATGTGAGTCTTTTTGAATTTCAGAGGGACTACGATTTTGATTATCTGTATTTATTTTTGAATTCTGAGGGACCACAAGTCAACTTTTTTTTTCTAAGAGATTAAATTGGGGCCCGTAATTTTTGTTAAGGACCCAAAATGTTCTATTGTTACAGTTTAGTTGACTCTTGATTACTTTTTTTTAATGTTAAATTAAAATTTTCTTTTCTTTTTTTTGTTTATATTCTTTTGTATTTTAATATATTTAAAAAAAATTAAATTTTTTTCCTTTATTTTTTTATTTTAAGTGCGCAGACATAAATAAAAGTTTTTAGTTCCGCAATTGTAGGCAGGTGCATAAATATTTTAGAATGTGTGTAATTGAGTGAGTGGTTATTACAAGTGAAAATTGTGTAAATCCTAATGGTGTCCTTTTAAACCTTTCTATGTGAAAAACAGCTGGAGGGTGATACTTAATCAGCTAGAATCCAAACCAACAGAGTCATTGGTGTCGTTTTGGGCAACTTGATACCCTTTTTAGAGCATGTTGGACTGTGGGGCTAAACTTAACGTGCATACATGGCAATGTAAGCTTGAGATGAGGAGGAGTTGGTGAATCATATTGTTGAGTGTTCATGGTCTTCTTTTGCCACACATTTAAAACTGGTGGCTCTTATTTGGATAAAGAACTCAGATCAACATCCTTTGTCCTCTCCATCTATCAAAATCGAAAGAGATAATGTCTAGTTTGACGTTTCATACAGCACATGTTATTGTCACTCATGTAATAAACACTCTCTTATTATATTGAAAATAAATGGGTAGACTAACATTTTTTTTTTTTAAAGAAAGTGGTACATTGAGTTCTCAATAACTATAAGAAATAAATATTCATGTAATTATTAAATATTGATTATCTTAGTATATACAATTTGTATACAATAACTGGCTGTGTAAATAAGCTGAGTCACATTAGGTCTAAATAGATTAAGCCTATATTTTGAATCTAACATGTCCTATTAGCTTAATGTGAGTTTAATTATAGGCTTGATATATAATTTATTTAGAGCTTGGCACCTTTCTTTTTTAAGGTAGAATTTACTTTTAAGCTAAAGCTTAAAAAAATAAAGTTAAAAGGTGTTTGGTGATTATATAAAATTGTTATGATGGTTTTGAAGGAGGGAAGAAAAAATAATTTATTATTAGAATGAATTATTATGGTAAATGATAAAATTTATAAATACAGATTTAGAATAAGGGTAAAAGTGAACAATAAATAAGGAGTCAAAAAAGTTGACATACATTTAAAAAAAAAAACTCCTCTTTGAATTTTTTTTCATTATTGAAAAAAAGCTATTTTTTATAAGAATTTTAATAAAAACATGTTTGACCTAGTTTCTACTTATAAGGAGGAGAGGAAAAGCTTTAAAAAAGACCTCTCAAATAGACACTTAAGCTTATTGGAATTAGAAAAAGTAAAAAAACTATTATTATTTTAATTAAAATTATTTAAATATTTAATTTAATTTATTTTAATTAAAATAAAAAATATGATATGAGCTAATTTATAAGTAAGGCCGGCAAAACGAGCTCGGCTCGGCGGGGCCGGCTGAGTGTTACAATCCACTCTCAAAAGCAGAGCGGGGCGAGCTCATTTTTTGGTAGATTGATGGCAGGGAGGGGTGGGCTGAGACAGGTTAGTGTAAAACAAGTTCGGGCCAACCCACCCTGCACGCCAAACGTGACGGGATAGGCCTAATGTTTTAGTCCACTTTTAAAAGTGAGGCGAGATAAGCTGTCTTATTTTTTAGCGGGTTGATGCCGGGACGGGGCGATGTGTCTACTTTCCCACCTCTATCTATAAGTCATGTCTTGTTAAAATAGGTTTGTGACTTGTTTTCTAAACAAATTTTTTTAAGACTTAAACCTATTTTTTTTTTGGGTAGATTAAACCTATTTTATTTTGTTGAATATACCAAGTCATATATGATGAATCATATGCCCCTAATACATCCCATTCAATAATTGAGAATTTTTTTTGTTATTGTACAATTTTTATCACTCTTGGGCTTGGCTCGATCAAGAAGTCCATACAGTGACGGAAACTTCCCTCCTAACAACGCTACATGATAATACTAATAAAAGAAGCAAGGGATCTTAGCAGAAATTTTTGACCATGATTAATGATTTCTTGATTTCTTGAAGGTAGTGTCTTAGGAGTCTAATAAAGATGTCTAAACTCTTTCCTTTATTGCCTCCCAACCAAATCACATGTATATGCTGAACAGCTAGGCTCTATTAAATTAGAAATTTAAACAAAAGAAGCAACCTTCACCTCTTATTCTCTAACATCTAGAGTCATGGCCAAAAAAGATATTAGGTTAACATAATATTTTGAGACGTAATTATGAATAGTATTCTCCACTAATAAAAAAAATATGCTAAATCTTTTTCTAAATAAAAAAAACCATTATCCATTTATAGAAAAAAAAAACTTATTTTTTAGTTTTATGTTAACCATCATCATATCATGTATTTATTTTCTTAACCAACAATACATTCTTCTTTTGTCAATTCCATTACTTAAACTCTTACTGTTTTTACAAATATGCACGCATGTTATATAATTCTATTTATGGTTAGATTTACGAAATGATATGCAATGAACAGTGTAAGTCAAACCCCAAAATAATGAATAACTAGAATTTGTCTTCTTTGATAAACCATTCTCCCCTTTGATAAGTTCAAATTAAATTAAAAATCGCATTGCATCCTTCTTTTATATAAGAGTTCTTGTATTAACAGGCTGTTACGGTTTAAAGTAAATCACTTTTTTTTCTTTCTTTAAATAAGTTAATATAAGGTCAACAAACGATACTGTGCACTTGCTTGTAACAACACAAATTAAAGTCTCTTTTTGAATCTTTTCTTTTTTATGCTAAAAACTACTTATAAGCTAAAATAAAGAAAAGAACTTAAAAAAAAAAACTAAAAATTGTTTAATAGTTACATAAATTTTTTAGCTTAAAAGTTAGTTATAAACATATTTTAAGAAAACTCTCTCTCTATCTTTATAACTCTTCATTTCAAAAAAAAAAAAAAACACAATTTAAGAAAAGCTGATAAGAACTTAAAAAAAAAACTCTTCCTATGAGCTTTTGGCTTAGAGCTTTTTTCTTCATTATAAAAAAAAAAAAAAAAAAAAAAAAAAAAAAAAAAAAAAAATCTTATAAAAACTTGTTTGACCTAACTTCTGCTTATAAGTAACTTCTAGCATAAACAATAGATGATTCAGGCAGGCACATAGTTGGAAATCACTCACATCAACATCCTTCCAGCCAGAGAGAGCACAAACAACTTCTGAATGTGCATATGATAAATTTGGCAGAGCTTAAATAGAACAGACAATTACTAAGCATAAGAAAATTTATAGACCAAACTGAAAATGAATAAGCCAAAACAATTTCTATACCACATTGAAAGACAGGAAGAAACATCAAAACATTACTCGCGTGAAATGAAAAGCTACAAATTGAAATTGCACTTTGATGTATTTGTTCATGACCCTCTACAATGAAATGTTGATCTATAATCCTAAGGCTTCTGTTTTAAGTAAAACCTTGCAATCAAGACCAGGTGAAAAAAATAAAGTGTGCAATCTTTGGCTGCTATATATCATTGTGGACACAGAGAAGGTACATATCAAAATCGGAAGCATGTAAAACTAAAATCAACTCAAACTTCTAAGCTGCTCAAATTTTTCCTGCTCCCACCACCAAAGACATCATCTCTCCTAAATTGACCCTACACCAAATCAACCTTTTAGGTTCCAATTTTTTACTCCCCAAAATGCAATGATGACTATACTCTAAACAAGGAGGGACAGATCCTTGATACTGAAAACTGCCACGGTGAAGATGCACAAATTTGTGAAAACTCAAAACTTACATTCTCAACGAAGGTCCTATTTTGGCAAACATTTACTTGCTATCTTCCCTTTGTCTGTGGCTTTTTGGGGGTTAATAAGATGGAGCTGCGTGATTTCTGTGTTTGATGTCCAAAAACATTCCTCAATGGCCCACATTCGGATCCATCATCATCACTGTCAACGTTGTCCGGAGTATGCCTATTCTGGTATCCTCGGCGGTGCAAAAGAAAGACATTGAAGTAGTAGCTAACTAAATCTTCCCTGCTCTTATGAGGAAATGATGGAAAAATATGATCCCAAAAATAACTCTCAGATGATGGAGGGTTTGATTGCACTACTTCCTTGAATTTTTTCTCATCTTCATCCTTCCACAATTTCGCAACGTCTTCACCTGACTTGTCAAAATTCCATTGAAAAAAAGCCAAACCCAGTTCCAGCTTGACTTTAGACCTTTTCTCACTAATGTGAAATCTGATACACTCAACAGAACCTGGTACTGAGCAGCCACAAGAATCTTGTCTTCCCTTTCCCATGGGGTCCCTTTCAATAAGAAATCTAGAATTTACTTTGTCTGTAGGCCATATTTGGGTCCCCAACCACTTAGAATCACTTTCAGAAGTCATGCCAGTCCATTCTGGTACTTCAGCTTGATGATTTGGACCCAAAGGAATGATCACTCTCACACATCCATCAAGACCTGAATGTACATCAGAGGAATGAAGAAACTGTTTCTCAGCACGATCTTCAGTATGAGGACTTGGTGTTCTATTGAAATCTACTCCGGTTCCTACAGATGACTCTGAAGAGCTTCGTACAGCTGATGTAGGTTTTGGAAATAAAGTCTTCTTGTCACATTTCGACCTCTCCCTAAGATTATAAGTTGCCCCAAGGTGATCATCATACAAGCTCGGATGCATCTTCTGCGTCTACAAAATGACAGAAGGTTTTGTTTTTAATGCGATGCAATAAGTACATTAGTAATTGCTTTAATCGAAAATATATGTAGCAGCATTTGGACAAAATTTAAGGCACCTTGATAACCAGCTAATAAAAAGAGAAGACCTTTATTACCAAAAAATCATGCAGTTACTTCGATCAAGAACTTATCTATATATGGTAACTATATACTTGATACTTATTAGATTAACTAATAAAAAGTGAGCTCTATCCATCATAATTTAACCTGCAATTTGTGGTGTATCTCCCAAAAAGGGCTAACAAATCCATTTAGGTTATCCATGATTTCAACAAGGGTACATAATAGTGAGGATATTTGCCTTGCCACCTTTAATATAAATATATAAAAGTATTAACATACTTCAATATTAATGAAGCTAAGTAATGTGACTAACATTTATCTTAGAATGTGTTTAAGGGTTTCTGTAGTATTCTTGGAACTAACATTAATATTTTCAAGTACAAAAAAACTATAACATACTTTCAAACATTAATTATAATAATTAAAAATAGATAGAAATCAATCCAAATAATATTCACAAATAAGATGGACTCCCCAACTACTTTCCACTATGCCTCCACTTTCTTTCTGCACCAACGGTTAAGTGAACAAAGTAGCCTTCAAGGATTTTCTCAATCCACATACACATCCGAGTTGCAATATAGTACAGAAGTAGTACAAACAGACAGGGCTTGAGCCCAAAGTCTTTTTAAGTTTTTCTTGTTTGTTGAGCTCTATTTCCATTAATATTTTAGAAGAAACAGAGCTCAATGTCAATAGAATTGCATCACATGTGAAAATGAAATACAATGAGTCCAACAAACAAATTATGGAGGATATGAAAACAGATTTTAAGCACACAATCATTAACCGAGTTGCAATATAGTACAAACAGACAGGTTTTGAGCCCAAAGTCTTTTAAGTTTTTCTTGTTTGATGAGCTCTATTTCCATCAATATTTTAGAAGAAACAGAGCTCAATGTCAATAGAATTGCATCACATGTGAAAATGAAATACAATGAGTCCAACAAATAAATTATGGAGGATAGGAAAACAGAATTTAAACACATCATTGTTAGAGATATATAAAACCATTAATGTAACCTCACCCAACAACTTAAACTTTTGGGTTGAATTGGTTCTTTATATAGTATCAGAGCCTCGGTGTCACGGATTTGATCCTTACCGCCCCCCATTTAATTAATAATTAATTAAATCTTATGGAGTTTCTTAGCATAGGTAAGCTGGGCCTGATGCATCATCCACCCTTCAAGTCCAATAGACTTTTGTGTGAAGGGTGTATTAGAGATATATAAAACCATTAATGTAGCCTCATCCAACAGCTTAAGCTTTTGGGTTGAATTGATTCTTTACAACCATAATTAACCGAGTTGCAATATAGTACAGAAGTAGTACAAACAGACAGGGTCGTCTTTTAAGTTTTTCTTGTTTGTTGAACTCTATTTCCACCAATATTTTAGAAGAAACAGAGCTCAATGTCAATAGAATAGCATCACATGTGAAAATGAAATACAATGAGTCCAACAAACAAATTATGGAGGATATGAAAACAGAATTTAAGCACACCATAATTAACAGAAGCATACAGAAGCTAACAGCCAAAAACAAATATCAAAATTTTGAAGATATGGTTTTAGCACAAATCAATGACATGCAACCCGACATTATACGACAAATAAAATCTGTCTCCCTCAGCAAACCAGAAGTTTTTTTTTTTTTTTTTGCAGGGAATGAAGCATCAAAAGTTGGGGATCGAAAGGAAATGAAGTCCAGAGCAACAAGCGCAAACAATCATCATTACACATTCAAGTACAAATACACTTGAGAAAAGAAATAATCAGTTAATCACTAGTGTAGTGTAAGTGACTAAGTGCACAGATAAGATTAATTGCACAAAAGATAAACAGAACGAAAAATATGTTCATTTATAGAAAAATTTTAACGGACTTGCTTATTTTGAGACTATTTAATTTTTAAGCATGTTACAGCAACACGTGCTTTAACTAAAGCAATTTAAGGTTAGCTAACTTCACTTAATAGCATATAATTTTTTTTTTCCAAATTACCTGCCAACTACGATTTTCACTGGTAGCCTCAAAATCCCTTTTGAGAAACACAAACTCTCGAAACAACAAAACCTGCTTCCAGATCTCCTGATTACTGCAAGACTTCCACTTCGGCTTTTCAGGTATAGAACCAACCACAGGATCACAAGGATTCCTAGCAACACGAGTAATCCAACTCAGCAAATCCAACATAGACTCTCTCTTCCTCTTACAACCACCAGTACTCTCTGTATCACCAGAAGATGGATCCAATACCACCAAATCACCATCATCATCGTCACACTTCTCGCCTTCACTCAACAATCCAGGCATACTGCTGTTCCCCGCATCAGATACATCCACTGTCGGCTCCACAGACATTTTTTCTCCATCAAACTCATCCAGTACTACTATTGCATCATTTCCCTCGCATAAGTTTCCAAGAACAGACTCATTCATCCTGTGGTCCAGCATTTCTGAATCCGGACATCCTCCATTCCTCACTTCTTCGTCACCATTAGACTCTAGATTCAAACCCTTCATCCCATTAGTACCACACAACACCCTCCCATCCTTGTATTCATCATCAAATCCACTCTTGAACTCCTCTCCGGCGACCTCATCCTCCGTGGCACAATCCGACAACAACCCTTTCACCTCGGCTTGCAACTCCATCAAATGCCTACCGAACTTATCCTTATCATCCACCAAACTACGCTCAAAGGGTACCTTACTGTCAGCAACTTTCTTCATCCAAGCATCCAAAGCACTCAAGTACTTACTATAAACCAGCTTCACAGAAGAACCAACACTCACACCCAACCCAGATTCCTCCCCAACCACATCCCACAACTTCCCATCGCAAACAGCATCGTACCCACCTTTCCCCTTCACAACCATGAACAGCTTGTACAAATCCACATGCTGCCCATCACCTAGCATTGGAGGAAAAGACAGAGAACTATTCAGGGGACAGATCTCCCTCAGGAACTCAACAAGGAATACCCCAAAACGGCACCGAGTCTTGTCGTATGACACTCCAACAACGACACCTTTATCTTCAACGAGAACCCCGTCATCCAACAGCGACCACCCTGCCATGGATTTCGAATTCAAACCCTAGGAACAAATAATCACGATACAAATCAAAATCACCCATTTTCTTTTCTTTTTTCAAAATTTTGATTTTAACTATTTTTTTATTCAAATTCGTTTTTGTGAGAAATCTAGGAAAAAGAGTTGAAGGGTGAGAAATTGGTACCGATTCAGAATCTGGGTTTTGCTCAAAAATGGATTTTGGCGGGAGAATAGAAAAGGGTGAGGATCTAGAACTAGCTAGGGTTTTTTGGAGCAAGCTCTGGGCTTGCATGCTCTTCCACCATTTTGTATAAGGAAAAAATGTTTCATATCCCGCGCTGTGTTTCTCTCTCTCTCTCTACAATGATGTTAATTGCAAAGAGAGAGAGAAAGAGAGGGAAGGGGCTAAATTTCAAGTTTTCAACAGACGCAGACCCTCTTCTTCAAAATCTCAATTTTCATTGGAAGTAAAAAGAAAAGAGAGAAAGACGTACCAGTTTTTAGAGAGAGAAATGGGTTTCAATGGACCCCTATGGTGAGTTGAGTTGAGTTGTGTTGTGTCGTGACCCTCTTGGCCTTTGGCCCTCTATGTGTTGAGTAGTATTTTCTTCTTCATACCCTATATTTTTTTTTTTTCCAATTGGTTTTGAGGGAATTTACAAGAGTTCCATTTTGATAAAACTCAAAATGGAGATTTATTAGGGTAGGGTTTTTTGATGAGAGGAAGTTCCTTCCACACCACCCTCTTATACATAGGTGAGGTTGGAGGATCCACTAACCTTGGTTAATATTTAACTATATGGATGGTTAAGTTGGGGTTTTGAATGGGTGTATTTTTTGTTGAGTTTGAATTATTTCTTTAATAAGATGAGGAGGAAAAAAATATAATTAAAAAGGACTTTCATGGAAAGATAAAAATGAGGGCATTAGAGTTTGCCATTAACATGGGTGCCCTCATGGATGGTTGTCTAACTTTTGAAGATTTATCATCTTATCTCTATTTGCTCAAGAAATTACCATCAAAATAATTGGAGGCAATGAATATAACCTCATAATTTTATAATTTATAGTAACAGTTGGGCATTCTATTACTTAAGCTTCCTCCTTTGACTATAACAAATTCAATTGTTTTATTGTTGAGGATTTCATAAATGGGTTCGCTTTTTCTGCAATTACTGTAGATAAGTTATCAGTAGTAAGCCCAATGCGATATCATTTTGGGGTAGAAATCATGGTGTTTTTGTAATTTTAATTTATTTCAGGGTTATTATAGTCTTTATAATTTTTTAATCTTTCAATCCCAAAATAACGTTGTTTTGAAAGTAAATGCAGATAACTTATCTACTACTGCAGAAATATTTTTCTGTACATAAATACCACAATTAGTTATGATTGGCCAAATATGAATCTTAGGCTAAATTAATTGACTAAATATTTATAGGCCATTTTATAAATAAATTGAAAAATTAATGTGGTTTTACTTATAATACTATAGATTATGTAAAAGAAATTAATTTTATTCAGTGTGTGAATTATTCGGATAATCGATTAACTGGTGGAGAAATTTTTTGGTAACTGATCCTAATTACCTCTTTGAGACGAATCAGAACCCCCCGGTATCCCCTCCGGTTCGACTCTTTGAGTCGCTTATGGGACTAATCCAGAGTTCGGGTGCGAGTCCAAGGATTATGGTACTTATGCCCCTCCCCATATGATGTTGGTGAGATTCGAACCGAGGTCTTCTTCCACCACTCAGTCCCCATGCTACCAACTAAGCCACCACACTTGGGTACCGGTGGAGAAATTTAAAAGTTCATTCTCATATCTCCAGAAAAACGTATATATTGTAACGCCCTTATTTATATAAAGAATGTTACATAGGGTTATTGAATTGCAATTTAAAACATTGGTATAGTTTTTTGAATATTAAATCGTAAGATTTAAAAACATATTAAAAAATAGCATAAGAAGTATTATATAAATGATGTATTGAATGAAGGAAATTAATTCCTTAATCCTTATGGTGAAAACCATCACCCATCAAACATTTATCATTTTGAATCATCAAGAAATATAAATCAAATGAGGCATATTTGTCTCAATTATAGCAATGATGTATCTCTAATCCTTTTGAGTTTTTGGCCTTTTTTTTTAGCTTTGGTCTTCCTCAATCAAATCAATCTTTAGAGATTATTCTCTCTAGATGGGAAAGAAAGAGATTGAAATTGATTTGACATCTTGGGGGGGCTATAACCCTAGTTTTAGTTTCTTTATATATTGTTCCATTAGGCACCCATTACACCTAGTTGGGTCAATATTAGTATCCACTCATTAAGCCCATACCGAATTAGGAATTTGATGGGATTCTTTGTATTGATCACTTAATTTTCCCAATAATTAAACAGCATGACATAATTGATATATAAATATATAGCCCACAATTATATTAGAAAATAAAGTTTCCTAACATTGAATATATAAGCTAAGAATTTAAAAATATTATAAAATGTGGATGACTTGAATTTTGAATTATATAACCGTTGGCACTAACGTTGCAATTATTCTCATTCTTGATTTCGTAACCACAATACTAATGGAGCATTACTCCCTCATTCACAGTTGTAATCCTATATATCGACATTGCTTGCATTGAAAATGGTTGCTAAATGATAAATTCTACCCTACTTATTTGCTTCTTTCTCTCTGACTTTGTCTTGTAACACACATTTCCTTATATTTTCCCTTTCATTTTCATAGCACGTTATCAGCACGAATGGAGCTTGTAACACCCCGTATATATCCGGTGATGTTATCATACTATCGTATTAAGCAGCGCTTAATTAAAAATGCGGAATTTCTTTTTCTTTTCAATTATGATGTCATTATCATTACCAACTTGCTTATTAATCAATTAATAAAACATCGCCTGTATGTAATTGCAATAAAACAGCTAACTGAAATACCTCATAACATAGATAATAAAAGTGTGTCTCTAGAAGTCACGGAACTACCACAAGTAGGCCGGACCAACTAGCAGGTTATACAACTCCAATATAAAAGTACTAACATAAAGTGTAATAGATAATCCCCATGCTCACTCAAATAAGGCAACAAGCCCAACATCAGTCTCAATAACAACATAATCATAAATAGCGGGAAACATAAACAGCATCCAAATCCAGTCATGGCAGCAATACAACATAATATCATAATCAGCTAAGCTCTGGCCTCCTGCCGCCAGAGGCATCAGTCACCATACTACCTGAACCTGAAATAAGCATTCCCCAAACATGGGGTGAGATCTCTAAACAAGAAATCTCAGTAAGACAAGGGGTCCTCAAGGATCTTCCACCCCAAGCTCACTTACATGTGCAATATAAGTTCAGAAACAGTTCATCAATATCATTTCTAAAATAGTGCAATGTAGCAGATAATCATGTCATGTGTGTCAATTCTATTCTACTGGCCAGAGAAATGCAGGATTTATATACGCCAAATACCCACACATAGTGCAAGACGCCACTTGCATTCACCCCGGATCACCATATCGTATGACGCCACATACTCAGGCTTACCGTCAAGATGAAACAACACATGCATATTAAAAGCCATTACACATAAAGCTCAACAACATTTCAAATATTCAAAGCATGTAACACAACATGCATATAACCACACCCCCATGGGAGATGGTGGAACAACAACATGGCTAAATTGAGGACACGAAAGCTTACCTTGCAAGCTAACACCCAAAGCCAAGAGTCCACAGCTCAAAGTCCAAACACAGCAGATTCACAATCTGTTATGGACCAATACTATATCAATAATAATGCACCATAAGTATATAACTTAAAGACAACGCCTTTCCTTTACGTTTTACGTCTTAAGGCTCCATACCAAGCTATAAGCCCTTAATCACTTGATTCTGACTTAGTTCATTAATTACAGAAGTTCAACTTCATCAATCTAGGGTCCACAAACCCCCAATAGCCTACTGTACACACATCACAACTATTGTTCTACGAAATCCCAGAATATTTGGATATTCCTCGGGACCATATCTGGATATGCAATATCCGGATATCTCACTGTACATATCCGGATATACAATATCCGGATATCCAGATTCCCATATCCGGATATCCAATATCTAGATATCCAAATCCCATATCCGGATATCACATATCCGGATATTTCTCGGGCAGATATCCGGATATTTCACGACAGAATGCAGAAACTGCATTTCGTGAAGATATCCTTCCAAGGTTGGGTTTTTACTGATTCTAGACACTTAAACATGCATTTCTAGGTGTGTTTGACCAACCCCAACGTTAAGTTATCATCTTTTAACCTTTACATGCATCAAGGTTCCATTTTTAAGCATCAAAACACAAGTTCAAGGGTTCAACCACTCACCTAAGCTTCAAACAGAAAAGAGGGATGCTCTTGGAGCTCACTACCAACACCAAAGGTTCTGACTTGGTTCCCAAAATGAAAATGGAGACAAAGGTAGGTTCTTGCACCCAAAGATCACTCCTTGGAGCACCAAGTGCCAAGGCAAAAGCTCCACCAACCCCAACAACCCAAAACAGCAGTTCCACACACCAAGGTCAGCACCCTCAACTCAGAAAAATGCCACCAACACACTCCCAAATATCACTCTCACTCACCACAAGTGTTTAGGAGAAGTTTCCATGAAAGAATAAGCCTCAAAGATCAAGCCATGAAGGAAGGAAGGCAATGGAGGCAAGTGGGAATGCTGGTCAGCCACCCTCTCACGTAGGGAATTCTGTTTTCTAGGACATTGTGCTCTTAAAGATAGTATTTATAGTCACTAACTCAATAAACACACAGTATTAACTTTAATTGCTACGCTTAGCATTTTAATCCCAAACTCTAGATTCTTAATCTACTCAATTTTACAAGAATTATCATATTTTTCTTATAATTTTCGATGCACCTTTCCAGTACGCGCTTTTCAAAGCCAGTACCGGTTTCTAGCACCAGTTCTCATTATTTGGACTTGAAACTCGTTTTACAAGTCCTACATATTATTCTAGTAATTATCATGCACTTATTATTATTTTCCGGGATACTTTTTCGGTACGCATTTATACCGACTAGCAGAACCGGTATTTGCACTTTTCTTCCGAAAAGCGACTTTCAGCATTATTAATCACTTACTATAATTACTAGAGCCTCATAATAATTATTAGGGTCAATTATGGAATCATTTCCTAATTTTGCATAATTAATTAATTAAAATTCCTTAATTAACGGTGCGGGTTCTTATAGAGCTATATGAAAATCTACAACGACATAGTGTTCATAACCATAGCTTTTTACCTAAAAAAAAAACTCTTCAATAATTTTTGGAAAAACTTCTTTAAAGAAAAAAAAACCCTTTGTCATTAATGCTTCTATCATCTATGGTTAAAAGGTTTCCACATAAGTA